TCTAATGTGTGGGGGCCTTACCACTTACCTTCTATGGGTGGCTACAAATATTTTATCTTGTTCATTGATGACTTTTCTCGATTCACTTGGATATTTTTGATGAAGTCTCGTGATGAAGTTCCCAGACTTGTGAGGCAATTCCATGAATTTGTCCTAATCCAGTTTGATACCAAAATTAAAATTTTCAGATCCGACAATGCAAAAGAATATTTTTAGAAAAACCTGACCTACTATCTCACTGATTTAGGGGTTATTCATCAAAGCTCCTGTGTTAGGACCCCATAACAAAATGGGGTTGCTGAAAGAAAAAATAGACATATTGTTGAAGTTGCAAGAAGTATTCTATTTGCCTCACATGTCCCTACAAAATTTTGGGGTGATGTTGTTCTCACTATTACCTACCTTATAAGTCGTATGCCATTCAGGGTTTTAGGGTTTAAGTCTCCCTTCAGTCTTCTTCATTCGGACAATGATCTTTTTCCTATTCCTCTTCGTGCCTTTGGCTGCACTTGTTATGTACATATCCCAAGTGTCCAGAGACATAAATTTGAACCAAAAGCCCACAAGTGTATCTTCCTTGGTTATTCCCCCACACAGAAGGGTTACTGTTGTTTTGATCTGAAGACTGACACTCAATATGTCTCAATGGATGTCACCTTTGATGAGCTTTTTTCCTTTTATGGTTCTTCTCTAGAGAGACATTGTCCAAAGGGGGAAGATTTGTCACAGGTGTTTGCTCTTCCTCTTCTTGTCCTAGTTGAGTCTTTTGCTGAGTCTCTTCCTCCTTCAAATGAGTCAAGGGAGGATCAGTCACTTCACTCTCATTCCAGTGTTCCTATTCCTCCTCCTTTCCCTCCTCGCCCTCTTTTTAATCCTAGGTTGTACCAACGGCAGAGAACCAGAAATGAGCAGATTGTTTCCCCTACAACACATGAGCCTCATGCACTTCCAGTTACATATGAGACAACAGGTACTGTTATAGCCCCTTTGGAGCCATCCTTCCCAGACCTTGATATCCCCACTGCTATTAGGAAAGGAAAAAGGAAGTGTACTGCACATTGCATTTCCAAACACCTTTCTTATAGTTTGCTCTCTCCTTAATATTTTGCCTACCTTTCTTCTGTTGCTTCTAACCCAATTCCTAGGTCTGTGTCAGAAGCTCTTACTATTCCAGAATGGAAGGATGCTATGAGAACAGAAATTGATGCCCTGCACAAGAATGACACTTGGGAAGTGGTTGATTTCCCTGAAGGGAAGGATCCAGTAGGCTATAAGTGGGTTTTTACTATCAAATATCATGTTGATGGCACCATTGAAAGGTACAAGGCTAGGCTGGTTGCATAAGGCTATACATAGACATATGGGATTGATTATCTAGAGACCTTTGCCCCTATTGCCAAGATGACTTCTGTGAGAATTCTGCTATCTTTGGCTACACACTCAAACTGGCCACTTTATCAACTGGATGTAAAGAATGCATTTCTGAATGGAGAGTTACATGAGGAGGTCTATATGTCTCTTCCTCCAGGGATGAAATCTCTTTATGGACTCAAACAGTCCCCTAGAGCATGGTTTGAAAGGTTTAGGGCTGCTCTTGTTAGATTTGGCTATGTACAGACACAGTCTGATCATACCCTCTTTGTGAAGAGGAGAGGATCCTTGGCCGTTTACCTGATTGTGTATGTTGATGATATTGTTGTGACTGGTAATGATGTCTTAGGGATTAATGATCTCAAATCTTTCCTTCATACAGAGTTTGAGATCAAAGATCTAGGGGAATTGAGATACTTTCTTGGCTAAAAGTTGCTGGATCCAAGGATGGGATCCTTATCTCTCAGAGAAAATATGTTCTTGATTTGCTCTCTGAAACAGGGAAGATGAGTGCTAGACCAGTTGCTACTCCTATCGATATGAGCCATAAACTCTCTGCTTCAAATGGAATATTGTTAGAAGATAAGGAAGTCTTCCATAGACTACTTGGAAAACTTCTTTATCTATGCATGAATCGGTTAGACATTGCATATGTTGTCAGTTGCATCAGTCAGTTCATGCATGCTCCCAGGGATACTCACATGGCAACAGTAGAGCGGATTATGTGTTATTTGAAGGGCTCCCCTGGAAAGGGAATTCTATTTACTAAGCATGGCCATATGAAACTTGAAGCCTACACAGATGTTGACTGGGCCGGAAACATTGATGACCGAAGATCTACCTCTGGGTATTGTAGCTTGGTGGTAGGTAATATTGTCTCTTGGAGAAGCAAGAAACAATCAGTTATTGCTTGATCTTCAGCCGAAGCAGAATACAGAGCCATGGCTCATGGAGTTTCTGAACTATTGTGGCTTAGATCCTTGATGGAGGACTGGGTATTGAGCATGATAAGCCAATGATGTTATACTGTGATAATCAGACCGCCATCAACATAGCTCACAACCTAGTGCAACATGACAAAACTAAGCATATTGAAATTGGCAGACATTTCATTCGAGAAAGAGTGGCTGCTGGAGAAGTGTGTCTACCTTTCATCACCTCTGAAGGACAGTTAGCTGATTTCCTCACCAAGGGCATTCCCAAGGCYAAACTTYAGCATGATACTGGMAAGCTTGGCATGATTGACATCTATGCTCAGCTTGAGGGGAAGTGTAGAGAAGATGGGCCAAATGGCCCATAGGCTATTTATCCTTTTTATCTTTTATGTTTTTTGTTGTAATGGACCTTAATTTGGACTTTATTATTTCTTATGTTATGTCTTTTTAATTTTCTGCCCAACTAGGGGCTTCTCTATAAATTACTAAAGTTTAACTTAATGAAATAGAATTAAGGGATTATGTTCGAAACTCTCTCTCTCTGAACCCAAGTTGCCGCCACCTTCTTCTTCTTCTTCTTCTCTCCTCTTGAACTCTGATTTCTGCTACTTTCTTTTGAATTTTTGCAACTTTCTAAACAGTCCTTTCTTCTCAAAAGGTTGTTTTTCTTCTGTAATCTAGTGGCTGATTGTCTTGCGAATTTTGCTCATTCCAATGATGTATCCCTTCCTTATCTTCCCAGATCTTTAAGAGCTTTATCTTGTGCTAACATTTGGGGACGTGCTACCCCCCATCTTGTGTAGTCCCTCTTCTTGTTTTGTCAAAAAAAAAGTGTTTCATGACTTCTAAAATTACAATGGTGAAATCTATTAGTTCCCCTGTCTCTATAATGCATATATAGTTGCAAATACATGGCAGGGACACCTGAATCCAACCAAAATATGAAGAGAATAAATTATCAATAAAATCATGATCACATGAACTACTTGGTTTGTGTTATATGTTTTTGGACATTGTACAACTAGTTAAAAATGTTTCAGAGAGGAGCATAGTGGTAACTGGTATTTCATTTTTTTATCAGTAAAAATACTTAAAAATCAAAATTACTTTCAGAGATAGAAGTCCCCATTTCCACGGTAAGGGAATTTATGATAACTTCACTTACAAGCCAGGCCTGGAGCCCTGCAGGCCAAAACAGTACTTACTGCCCCTACTCTGCCAAGGAATCAAGAAATCTATTAGCAGATACAAGGATCCATTTGAACAAGCAGTTCATCTTGGATGCCAAAAGCTTTGCCTCTAATTAAATGCCTTAAGGATTGTCTGATAACAACTTAAGTGGCTGAATTGAATGCCTTGCTTTGTCTTTAGTGGGTAAAATACCTAAATAATAAAATATTTGTGGGTATGGTAAATATGATACCCGGATACCTATAAAAGGGTACAGTTGGATACTTCAATTTTTACTGTTAATACTGTATCCATCCATATCCTTGCTGTATCTGAGTAGTAAAACATAATTTGGTAGTCAACCCAACTTCAGTTTCAGCCATTATAGAATTCACAACCTCCTTGATAACTTATTAAGAAGACAGCAACAAGTCATTCAGTTCAGCCACTTCATTTGTTATCCAATGGCCCCTTAGAGTCCATGGGCCATCTGCTAAAGAGGAAAACCAATACATTACTATCTAACAATCCCCTTCCCTATCCAATACCTTTAAGGAGGGCAGCAAGCATCTCAGTGACCCAGGCCTCAAGGCATTAACAACCCCAACTGGGCCTGAAAAACTTAATACAACGGTTCCATTTTTGTCCTTTATAAAACCCCCAATACCTGATTATCTTGGATTATCACAACAGCAACCATAAAAATTCAGTTTACCCTCTATCTGGAGGAGACCAGGATTGGGTTGTTTGATGCCCTTCTCTGAGCAAAATCAGCAATAGTAACCCATACTCTCAAGATGGAGTCCATGGGGACTTCATTGAATTCCTCCTTTTTCAAGACCCAATCCTCCATTAATTCTATGATATCCTCCACTTTTGTTCTTTATTATCAAAGATCCTTGCATTTCTTTCACTCCAAAGTCCAAGTGCTCCATAAGATAATCACTCTAATGCAGCCCAAGCACTCTACCCCTTTTTGTATGAGCATTGATCATGTGAGAAGAGAATAACTCCAGTACCTCATTAGCAAGGTGACCCAACAATTCAAAAAAGGTAGGACCTTCCTTTTCTTAAATCAAATGTACACATGAGGTGAGAGGCACCATAATTTCCAATGTTGGATCACCTCACAAAGATAAAGGGTTACAATCCGCGATGCCACTTCCCAACAGAAAGCTTTGATGTTTAGGAGGCATAAGTCCAGGATAAAGAACTTTAACCAAAAATCCAGGGTGAGGGGGGTAATGGGAGATGAGTGAATAGTTTGGAAAAGGAAGCACAAGAGAACAGTCTGGGTAAACAAGAAGGCAAAGGGTCACCCCACCAAAGATCCTCCAAGAATTTTAGTTTCTTGCCAGAAATTGGGTAATATCTGATATCCCAATTGTTGTGATTAAATGGTTGGTCTGACTATAGAGGAGGTATATGTTTAATATTTTTATTCTAAAGGCCCATTTCTCTCACAAAATAAAGAACACCAATTTAGAATTAATAAGTTCAACTGAACAAGATATATTGTCTCACCTTTGTCATGTCAGAAGTTCGTAATATCTTCTGAGTGGCACCAATCATTGAACTATCTAGGAAGGAGAAGCCGTGCAGAAAACCACCTGCTGGAAACTTCACTATATCTGTTCCAGATGCATAGTGGCTCTGCTCACCATCAATAGAAAAGTCCCCATGCAGAATCTTATCGCCAAAAGCAATGCCAAATGGTGCTAAAAGATCATTCAATGCCGGAATATTTGCACCCCCGGTAACTGGGATCCACCAACTTCGCGTGCTATCATCAAAAAAATTCATCTTCGCCATCATGTCTACATTATACCACTCAGCAAACACAGCTAGTCCTAAACCAGTATTAATGACATCATCCTTAAGCTTCTGCACCTCTTCTTCATAGTACTCATCCTCAAGATCTACCATCAGCAGTGTCCCATACTGGTGGGCATCAAAACATGTAAAGGGTGAGCCAAGTGTTTCAACATAGTATCCGGCATCTCTCAGCACGTTGAACATAGTGTGGAAATTTGTGTGCAGATGATCTCCATGCCAATCAAGGATGTCGTTGCGAACATTCAGAGAATCTCTTGGGATATAACCAGGCGGGTATTTGATGCTATGGAATTGATCCCATAGAATCCGCTTGGATCTTGGAGGAGTTGGAACCACTTTCAACTTCAATTTAAGCACACAAGTAGTAGTTTGTCGTTGAAAGTTTTCTCCACGAGTCGATGGGCTGTATACTCTAACAGTCACATTGCCTTCGATTATTCCTGCAAACTGAGCACCTTCTTCCTTGATTTGCATGTGTAATGCAAGATAACCAGTCCAAGGCCAGATAACTTCTGAATAAGTAAAGTGAATATTAAGCAGATTGCCCACTTCGTCCAAAGGATGCCATGAGGGTGGAGAATCGACATAGCCAATAACACCCATTCCATTCAATATAGTGGCATTGAAGATCACAGGCATAGCACCTGCATAGAGTGGCTGGTGACAAAAGGGCCAGGAATAAGGACAGTCTGTAAAATCGAGAACACTAGGGAAGATGCTTGCCCGAGGTTGGTAGTTTTTCAGTATTTCATATGACTTCAAGCTGACATATATTGAGAGAATTATCTATTTACAAGAAAAAAGGCATTCATTTCCAAGTATACAAATGAAAAACATAAGGAGATGCTTTACAAGTAAAAGAACTAACAGGTCAACCTTGCCTGCACCTTGCTCATACATATTAGGACCAGAAAGCTTTGCTGCCCCCTCAACAAGTGCTTGTTTCATGCTTGCTGGATTTAGAATCTTCTTTCGGCTACCCTCGGGGATGACACTAACAAGCAGGCAAACCACACCAGCAGCCACAGGACTTGCCACACTGGTTCCTGAAAGGCTTTTACAGCCTGTACTGATCTTGGAACCCATGATATCCCGGCCATATGCAACAATATCTGGCTTCATGCGACCATACCTGTTTGGAAAAAGTTAAACATGGTTAAAACAGTGTTTCTGAACCAAAAAGTGAAAATTTTCCTTTATTTTCTAATATAATTCCTTTGGTGTATATGAGCTAATGAGTTTTGTTCTTCAAAATCAATACAGATATAATATAGTAGCACAAAAAACTTTATCCCAAGTAAGATGCAATGGCATTAATAACTCTTACAAGCTAACAAAATAAGTGTTAAAGAAAAGTATCAAGTTAAACTTCCATACAAAGGGAAGTATGGAAAGCTTCAATTAAACAACAGGTAGAGAACATGGCAATGGATAAATGCACTCAGAGTTGGGAGATCTCCAAGGTAAGCCCTAGAGATGTCTTGAAACTATGTCAAATATGGAAAAACTGGACAGAATAAAACCTTGACTACCTTCACCATATTCATGCATTTACTATTAAGAAAGTTTCACCGGAAAGGAGGCCAATGCTCTTTTGGATACATGGCATGCAAAACTTCTTGGATTGATATAAGTAGGGATATATAATGATGCAGACTGTCACAGAAAATGAGAAAATAGACATCTACTAAAATAAAGAGAATAATATGGAGTATGTTGATCTCATGATTCGTGAGATGGAACATTGATATTACAAAAATACTAGGGTTAATGTATACCAAAATGTACTGAAAAAGGGAATATGAGTCTAGGCTGAGAACCAAACCACTCCCCTTCCAACTAGACCTGTTCATGGGCCGGGTGGCCCGACGGGCCGGCCCGGCCCCCGGACGGGCTTGAACATGCTTATCGGCCCACGGGCTTAAATTCGGGCCAAAAAGCCCGGCCCGCAATAAATTCGAGCTGGGCTCGGGTTTTGTCAAAATAGCCCGGCCCGACCTAATATTAAACTTAAAATGAGTTATGTGATTATGTCCATTTGAATAAATTTTTTTATTTAATAATGTAAAATTGTGTTTTAAAATATAAAAGAAAGGGAAAAAATACCATCTTGTAGGCCCATTGTTCATTTAAATAGAAAAAAAATACTATTTGAATAGGAAAAATTGTTTTTTTTTTCAATTAGGTCGGGCTTCGGGCTCGGGCTCGGGCTTCGGGCTTTTTATCAGGGCCGGGATCGGGCCCAAGTTATAGGCCCGTTGGTCGGGCCGGGCTCGGGCTCGGGCCTAGTATATTTTCATTAGTGACAAGTGAAAGCCCAGCCCGAGCCCGGCCCGGCCCGGCCCATGAACAGGTCTACTTCCAACCCAAATAACATTGAACATCTGAAGTGGCTAGACCTAACCAACTTATTTGCAGGAACCTGGAAAATAAGAAAAAAAAAAGAAGATTCTTTACCCATGAGGAATCTCCCAAGTGCTCATGCTACGAGAGGAAAATGAAGCTATGTGATCATTATAGTCAATCCCACCAACACCAATAACATCACTTTGATCTACAGGATTGTTTAGTGTTCCATATAGTGGTCCATCATTGCCAATGGCCGAAACCATAATACTGTTACTTGCTGTCAGTTCCCAGACCTGGAAAACATTTAAATTTTAAACCACTTGCAATTATTTCTGTGATCAGTTTAGAGTCAATGATTACTTCTCTCCTTTCCGATCTTTCTTTCTTCTTTCCTTTTTTTTTTCTTTTTTTCCTTTTGTGTATGGATGGCAGTGGAGGTGTGCTAGGAAATAATTCAAGCTTTTCTTTTGTCATTCCTTTATCTTTTCTGGTAGTGGAGATTGGGGCATTTGCAACAGATTATGCACCATGATGATGAATTACACAAAATGATGAGCCGTTTAGGACTTCAAAAGAAAAACTATATATTTGATTTTCATGATTCTCATCTATTTCTGCTACAATTGGGAATGCCAATTCTTTTACCATATACATGGTATATCTACCATCTAGTCTTTCTCAATGTGAATGATAATTTGCATGCTTATGCATTCATTGAAATTTAAGATGCAACTTAATAAAGGTCATTACCCAATGTTGGTCCCAGCTACTGGGGTCTTGGGAGAGGTGGACTGGATATGGACCTAATCTTTGGCATTTTTTTTGCACAAGGTAGCCGCTCAGACTCAAACTCATGCTTGTCAGCCCAAGATTTTACCATTACACCAAGCAATGGCCCCTAAATTGAAGATGCAACATCAGCAGTATAATATGTACTTGTACGTGTAAGCAAAGCTAGAGATCAAATAAATTGAAGAGAGGGAATGCAAGCACCATAAAGTTTCAACTAAACAGAATCAAGAGGAAGGGGTTTACCTTTTCCACAAATGGAAGATCCAAGTAATCAGGTCCACCTATACTCAAATTCAGCACATCCATATTGGTTTCAATAGCATAGTTGAAAGCATCAAGAAACCATGATGTGTAAGATATCTGCAAGAGGCTCAATAAAACTTATCATAATCTTGATAAAAAATATAATATCTGAGCTCAAAATAACAAAGAAAAGCTACCATACAAAAACCGTAATATGTACGATCCAAGGCTGCCACTAAAGGAGTAAACATATTCAGTGGTTTAGATCAGAAGTGAGAGTGGGATTACAATGTCTAAGTAACTTATCCATTGAACCTTGGTTTAATTGAATAGTTTGTAAAGAGTAGCAGCATTTAGGATGCCCCGATTAAACAAAAGGATAATGGCATATGGTCTGTTGTATAGATGAAGGCCACAGTTGGTCTATAAAAAGCTCTCAAATTGCACCTACTTGTGTAATGCAGACAACTCATTAACTTACTACGGATCAGTAGGTCAACCTTGTTTTTGTAGTCATTTTATCATTAACTAGTGAGAAAGCATAAGCAATACATGCGCTACTAAATAGTGGAGGAAAGAAAATATAAGAAGGTCTAGGGGCCCCCAAGAAGTACAAAAAGTAGGACACCTGTCTTGGCAGGTCTTACAGGACCCCTGCCATCAGGCTTAATAGCCAGGAACAAGAGGCATAGCAGTACAAAAAATAGAAAAGAAACTGCAAGAGCTGCCAAGCCCAAGCCCAAATCATTCATTAAGTATTGTGAAACTCTATCCCTGGCCCAGGGGGCTCCAGTACAAGGTCCTGTCTAGTTACCCCAGTTCTTGCAAGAGAGACAGCCAAAAGTACTTGCTAAATGTGGAATTTATCTGAACAAGATCTTCAGATTGGCAGCCATGTTTATATAATAATCATCCTAGGCATTCAGCTTTACTGTACATGTAGTTCATAATGGTCCCACTTTTAGTATTTTTTTCCTGCTCCCACTATTACTTATTTTGAGTGCATTTAGGAAGTTGCACCTTTCATTTTTTTACCACTCTTCTGTTTTCCCTTTTGAGTTCTTTCTTGAGTTAATATCAAGAAATGCTACTAAATTCTTCAGGTATAAATAAGATATTAAGTAGAATGGCTGTGCAAGACAGGTCATCTGACGTCTATATATGCTTTTTTGCCTTTTCTTCCCATGAGTAGAAACTGGAATTTTCCTCTTGATAAGTTGAATTCTTAAAGTGGTGCAAGCTTTGTGGAAGTTGCGGGAAGTTAATGAACCTCTAAACCTAGGGAAAAAATAGCCAAAAACTGATGAAACTCCAATGCAAATTCCTTTTGCAAGTGAAAATTGAAAGTAGCAACTCATCACGCTCAAATTATCTCCTAAGGAGCAATGTGCATTACTTGGGCATTTGTAAACACACGGAAAGCATAAATCTCCGCCTCAGGTGCAAATCCTAGGCACTCTGCATCTTGACCAGCAATAACTCCAGCAACAAATGTCCCATGTCCAAGATTGTCATTGAGGGTATCGTCATCCGTCCAGTTCGTCCTTTCCTGTAAGCATGTCACTATTACAATGAATTAAACTCTTCAGTTACAGACTCGTAGCAAAAGCATAACAGAACTCAGTGACAATGCCAAAGCAGAAGCGTAACTCATAATAAGCGTAACAGGAATTGTCAGCATATCACATCCACCCAGATTAATGAGGCATTTAACTAAATGCCAGAAGGAGCACATACCTTTATGTTACGGAAATGTGGGTGTTTTGCTCGAATCCCAGTATCAAATATGGCCATTTTGACTTTGGCACCTGTATGCCCTTTTGCCCAGAGTGCCTTAGCTCCACACAATGATGTAACCTGGGATCTCTGCAAAAAAAAATCATGAAACTCGTACCACGTAAGGAATAACGGAGAACTGTCATTCGAATTTAATATTCCAAAGTAAAACAAAAATACAAGGTGCAAATAAATGGAAGAGAAACCTTATGGATACTAGTAAGACATTCACCAATCTAGGAAATTAACCTGCATCATGAGCTTGTGCTTCCAGCTTATGGTAGAATTACATGGAGCTGTAGGGTGTTCTCCCTCGCCGAAAGACATTGAAGTAAACATCTTTCCGGGACGCTTCTTTCCATCCACGAAAGCTCCTCTTCTATGCAGTTTCTTCGAAGATAAGCTCCGAAAATAGCTGAAATCAACCAAAACATCCTTGACAAGCTCCAGTTTCCCAAATTCCGTGACCAGAGCCTCTCGGACCCCGTCCTCGATGGACGCGAGCCCGAAATTGGTTGGGAACGCAGCAGCCGGATTCCTTCTTTCGATCCATCTCCACCCGCTCAATTGGATATTCTCTTCAAGGTAACTCCTGTGATCCTCCGCTCTCCTCTAATCAATAAATCTCACAATGTAATTCCTCTGAGGAGATTCTTGTTTGACACCAACGTTATCGTATGATCTTGCAGCTTCTTCTCTGCTTCCGACGTTCTCGTAGGATCTTATTTTCGTTTGGGTTAGAGTCAGGGTTTCCTCATCGGTCTCGAACCTGAAGATTCGATCAATGTAGGATTGAAATGAAGGTCGGAAATGGAGGAGAAAAATCGAAAGGAGAGCAATTGCGAGAGAACGATTGAGCAAACAGGAGGTTCGAACAATGGTCATCACGTTCGTACGCTCTGTTATAGGTCTTGAGGAATTTGGCGGGAAAGCTCCAGCATTGAAGGTCGGGAAAGCTCCAGCTTCGAAGTTTTTTTTTGAAGGCGTTCAGGCTTCGAAGTTCGAAGTTCGAACCAGGAGGAGAGAGAGAGAAATGGAGAAATCCGAAAATCTATTTATAATTTTACGGAAGATGCGTAGAGCGCACCACCTCCAACTGAGGGCCACTACATAAGACAAAGAAGTGATCATCTGCTCATGATCAGAATAAAGAATTTATAACCGTACGATTGGTTGCGTTTGGATTCAGATGAAATCCAGTAACCTGTGTTGGGTTTAGAGAAAAAACCTTTCAAATTAATGACGCGAGAGCTTATCTTCTTTGTCCAGTCCTCCACCCACTTGCACCGCACAACCGAACGACGCCCGGATACCCGCCATTTCTAGGGTTTTCATTTTCATCGAGCGGGAACCTAAAGGCTAAAGATGCTGGGTTCTCTCCGTTTATCCACTTCACTCCCCTTGAATCGTTTCTTCTGCAAATGCTCCGAACGTCGAGAAACTATCGACATGGCCAAATACAGAGAAGCTTTCTCAAGGAGGATGACCATGGCAGGACTCAAACCCCATCATCGAATTGGTCTCTCAGATTATCCTCTTTTTCCATTTTGTGCCATAATTGGGAGGTTAGTAAGAGATTGATGTTTTCGTTTTCATGCTGAATTCGTTTGTTTGCAGCTATGGGAGTTTCTGGCGGACCCGACAGCGTGGCGCTCTGCGTTTTAACAGCGGGTTGGAAGGCCGATGCCCAAGTTGGAATGGACGAGACTACGGGTTGCATCGATGGGCTTTTAGCTATTATCGTCGATCACGGACTACGAGCTGAGAGCAAGGATGAGGCGAACTGTGTCCGCGATAGGGTCTCTAGAATGGGTATCGTCTCTCATTTTTCCCTTATGTTTATCTTTTTTGTATATTAATTTACTTACCTTTCAACAATGAGGGGTGTGGTCTGACTTTGCGTAGGAATTAAATGTGAGGTTGCAAGGTGCGAATGGTCTAGTGGTAAGCCAAAGCAGGGTCATTTGCAAGAAGCAGCTCGTGAAATGAGGTTAGTCTTCCTGAGTGAGTTTATTAGCTGCAATTGCTGGGTATTGTTTTCATTTCCACGATTTTTCTTATTCTGTTGATTTATGAGTTCATGTTTTGATATTAAAAGACGTTTGACAATGGAACTTAGCAACTAAAATTTGTTTGGACTTTGAACCCTCCAGGTATAATATTTTTCAGAATGTCTGCGTCCAGCACCAGATAGGTGTCTTGCTTATTGCGCATCATGCCGATGACCAGGTTTACATTAGTGTATCTTTACTCATGCTGTAAATGGGAGTATCCAGTTAATAGTACCACTTTCCTTCTGCCCTTATCAGGAAAAAGGGGGAAAGAACTCTGTTTTGCCTTGTTTTTTTTTTACTATGTTAAATGGTTCACATCTGTTACCAATTAGAAAGAATAGGATTTACCAGATAAAGCTGACAATGTTATTGAATAGAGAGAGGAAAAAATTATGTTACCTCATTGAATCTTTAACAAGTGATGTGGTTATAAAAATTGCAGGCTGAATTATTCATTCTCAGACTATCTCGTAACAGTGGTGTTCTTGGACTTGCTGGGATGGCATTTACTTCTCAGTTGTTCTCTGCATATACTCATTGTGATGAAAGTTCAACCAATCATGGGATTTTACTAGTGCGACCACTGTTGGAGTTCTCAAAAGAAGATATGTACAAGGTTGGTAACTTGGTGTTTAGCTTTGTTTCAGACAAATGCTCATATGCTTGAAGAGAATCATTTTATTATTAATCTCTTCTGCCAAGTATTTTTTTCTTTCAATGCTTTGAATAAGCTATTTTGCCCAATCATCATTGGACTTGATGAGACAATCCATCTTTATTGTTACCAATAAAAAAAGTCCATTTGTCTCATGTTTTTGTTATTTTCTAAGAATAAGTTATTAATGGATAAAGTGAGACAATCAAGTAAATAACGGACAAAGAATGATTTGGAGTTGGAATTCGAAGAGTTAGAGTCTTTAATAAAGCTTTATCGGGATAGTGGCTTTGGGGGTTTGGAAGGGAGAGAGATGCTCTTAGAAGAAGAGTTGTTCTTTGCATAATGGGGTGATAATTTTGAATGGGGTACAACAGAGGTTTCTTCTTCGTATAGGGTTAGTGTTTGAAAAGGGATTTCAAAGTTTCAAACAGAATTTTCTAGCCGATTTAAGTTTTTTGTAGGGGGATCAGAGCAGAGTGAGATTTGGGGAAGATGAATGGTGTGGAAATGGAAGGTTATGTGAAGTTTGTCCAAGGCTGTACAAGTTGACTCGAAGAACATCTCAGTAAATCATTGTTTTGAAATTAGAGGAAATCAAGTTTTATGATGTCCAGTGTTCAGACATCCATTATTGGACAGAGAATTGGATGAGCATGCAGAATTATTTGCCAAGCTCAAGGAAGTGAAAGGGGATAATAACAAACCTGATACCAAGTGGTGGAAAGAATGTAAAGATGTTAAACCTTTTACAATGCCTTTATGAAAGATCAGATGGTGATCAGCAACCTATTGGGTGTTTGGGAGAATCCAATTCCCTCTTGAATAGAGGCATTTGCATTGGCTTCTCTCTTTGGATGGTCTTCTCACAACACAAGGAAGATGCATGCCATTTATTTATTCATTGTCAAGTTTCAAGGTTTTCCCCCATCATTCTTTTCATCATTATTTAAGGTGTCATGTCATTGGTATTCGCAGCTTTTGAAGGAGATTTTCACAAAATGGTCAAGATTTTCAAGAAGCAAGAAAGCTAAAATATTCTGGAGTATCATCTCTTTTGCAGTTTGTTGGGGCATTTGGAGAGAACTAAACAAGAGACTCTTTGAAGCCAAGGCTAGAGATGAGATTAAGTTAGTGACAGATACTGAGTCTTCTTTCATGGAGATGGAGTGGGCCCTTGCTCATTCTGAATTCAAAAATTTGAAAAGAAAACATCTTGGGGAGAAGTTATGGGAATCATTAGAGTTTTACAATAGATAGATCATTGCTGTTTTTGTTGGTTCATACCTGTCATTTGGTGCTTGGGGTTTTTGGATGTACCTTTTTGGTGAAATGTCTTCACTTGCTTGTAGCTTTTCTCTTTTCTATTAAAGAAAATTTCCTTTTACTTTAAAAAAATAGTTATCCAACCATACCATTTCTAAGGATCACTTTATAAGCCTAGTCCACTGGACCGAGCTCAGGATTGAGCAAAACATCCAAGTTTTATGCTATACAAGGATAATTAAGTTTCCAAAACCAAGAGTTAGCGGAATTTCCTTCTACAATGATCTTAAAAACTCTTGGACCTTGATATAATAAAGATTATTCTTCTGGTTCTTGCATATCTTCTTTATTATGGTACATCCCAAGATTAGTTGACACTACACAATAACCCTAGAGAGCTTCTATTAGTACAAACTACACATTGTATATATTTTCTGTCCAAGGACCTTTCTGCATTTTTCCATATCATTTCTATGAAATTATTTTACTATATAAGAAGAAGAGCCTTTTGTTCTTGGTGTAATCCTTGCTGTAATTGGGAATGGAAACAGGGCGGGTTCGGGGTAGGGATCATATTCCCGATCCCCATCGGGGATAATATTTATCCTCCATCCCTGATCCCCGATGGAGACAAGTTCCCTGTGGGGACCCGAATCTTCAAATTTTTAAATTAACAGTATTTTTTTTAAAAACTAATACTTAAATAATATTTAAAATATATTTCAGAGTCGGGGCGGGGCAGGGACTTCACTCCCCATTCCCGTTCCTGCCCCGCCAAGGCAATCTCCACCCCTGACCCGGTGGGGTCAGGGAGGCTGAGTACCCAGTGGGGATGGGGAAAATTGCCATCTCTAGCAGAGAGTGATGTTCAATGATATTGGTATGGAATATTTGGATGTAACTAGATTGCTCAACCATTTGAGATGTTCATATTAGATGGATTACAGGAGAACACTTCATGCCTCTATCAAGTTGAGCCTATGTTGTACAAAAGTTGTGCTTTCAGTCATTTCATGGAATCCCGAGATCTGTATCAGATTTATATAGTTAGATGGTGTCTTGCATTACCTTCTGAGTTCCACATAAGATCTGTGTGAGGATATACATATTGTGCAGATATGTCTAAGGAGTAATCAGGAATGGGTGGAAGATCCAACAAATCGGAGCCCATTATTTGCTCGTAACAGGATCCGTATGTCACTGGGAAATTTATCATGTAAGTTTTGATACATACAGCAATTTGCTCATTAGCAATAAGAATTACATAAGTCAGAAATTCCTATTGTGTATTATGTAATTTAGCATTTATTCCCTCACTTTTGGAAATGGTTGTTTTATTATGCATCAGAATATTATTTCATTTGTCATATGATAGGGTTATTTACTTATTTACTTATTTTTTAGAAGGTAACTATAAGAACCATTTATTATTATTGTGTCCTAGAATGCATGGTATCATATCAAATTCTCTGTTTTCTTAGCTCAATGTTGGCATATTCATGAAAGTTGCACTTTTCTTAATTTTCAGGTACCATTAGATCTGAACTACAGAAACTTATTTCCACCTGTCGGAAAACACGATCATTTGTTGACACAATTTGCAATGGTTTAATAGATCGAGCTGTGACCATAACTACTGTGAGTAGCTTTTTTTGTATTGCAGAAACATTTTCATATATTATGTATAGAGTGTGTGATATTAATGGTAAATTGAAGTTACTTATCAAAAAATGTATAGAATGACTTACCAAAAAATGAGAGGAAGTAGTTTGCTTTTCCTATTTCCAATAGGTGATAAAATGAGAGGAAGTAGGTGATAAAATTGAAGTTAGTTAATAATAAACTATTATGCATAGTTTCTATTTTTTCTTTTATAAATAATTATAGAATAATCTTCTATTTTGCTTTTCTTATTTCCAATAGGTGATAAAATGAGAGGAAGTAGACAAAGATGGTTTAGTGACATGCATATAGGGCTGTAAATGGATCGGATTTAGCAAAATCTGAATCCAATCCGACTATTGAAAACTTGCATCCGAATCTGATCCAAAATCCAATCAGATTTGAAGACCTCAGAGTTGAATTTGAATCCTAACAGGCTAAAATTGTATTTTTTATAATCTTAAATATAGTTATATCTATTTTATATTATTAAAAAATTAAATATTATAATATAATTGGATTGGATGGATCAAATCTGGATCTGATCCAATTACATAAACACATCGTTCGAATCCGAGATAATCAGATCAGATGTCGGATTGGGCCACAGAGTTTCGAGTATCATTGACAGGCTTACATGCATAGAAGACCACCTAAAACACCCATAAAAAGAAAGCAATCTATCATAAGTTGAAGGGGCTAGAAGAGTTGGGGCAGAGGAAAAGGATTTCTGTTGAATTTGTAAGAAATAATTAAACGCTCATAATTTAATACTGGATATAGTACTAAACAGAACAGAATGGGGAAACAGGATTCATGTAGCCAATCCCATATAATTGGTATAAGGACTAGATGATGATGATATAGTGCTTCTTTGGGAGGCCTTCAGCTTTGAATTAGCTTCTTTAAAGTACTAAAATCAGCTTCACCAAGAAAGTCGATTTACTAGCTGAATGTAAGTGTATTTGGGCTTTCTGGGGTTTTCACCAAACATAGCTTCTAGACTTTCCATGTGGGGGTGGGGCCTGCCCTGCAAAGCTAGAAGCTAATGCGTGAAAGTCCTCCCAAAGGGACACATAATTGGCCTGCCAGACTGTCACTGAACTTCAATGTCTCCTCAATGAACTCTGTTATCTTAAGCAACGTGAAGATGGGCTGAAGACAATATTCTCAAGAGTGTTTTCTTCATTGGAATGACCATACTGAGCCTTCTAGCTTTGCAGGGCTAATGGTGAAAGCTCAAAGTAAAAAATGTATTATTGAGGCCATAACAGTTAGGGCAATGCATTGGGTAAAATCTGTAAAGCTATTTGATGATGTTGAACAACTGGATGGAAGTAGCTAGTTCTGCATCAATTCGTTTTTCTACTGCTTCTGTGTGGACACCACCTAGCAATGGGTTTATAAAGTTAAATTTTGATAGTAGTGAAGGTAAACCAGGCCCTTCAGGTGTAGGGGGTGTTTTCTGATATGAGGAAGGGAAGGTGATAGCAATGTATTCTTGCCCAATTGGGGTTGGGGATTCTCTTAGATCTGAGATCTTTGCTGTTTTGGAGGGTATTAGAAAGAGTAAGGAATTGAATATACAGAAATTAATTATTAAAGGGGACTCAGAATTGGTGGTAAGCTGGTTACAGAAGGGAGGTGGTCTTTGGAAGTTTACTAATGAAAGAAAGGAAATCAAATGGCTAACTAGCAGGATGGACATCCAATTTCAGTGGGTGAAAAGAACAGCAGATGCGTTTGCAGATGCTTTGGCAAAGCAGGGGGTGGGAAGGGATCAATTGTACTGGGCTGTAATTGTGAGATGTTGTTTTGCTCTCTTGTAGAGAGTTAAGCCTTTTTAACTCTCTCTGGATTGCTGTACCTGTTTCTTATAATTCTAATGAAATTCTGTTATTGATAAAAAAAAAAGACCATACAGAACCTCTCTCTTCTTGGTTCCTAGGTTGGTAAATAGGAATAGTGAAATCTTAGGGCAGTGAGGGGTTAATAGAGCAAAATTTTCTATCAAATTCCAATCCTTTTTATGGATCTTGTTTCTTTTCCTTTTCCTTTTCCTTTTTTTATTTAATTTTTTATGAAGGGAGAGCCTGATAATTTCAATCTGATGTATTCAGTTAGTAGAAATTCTTGATGAGTCCTAATAAGTGCCTAGGACCTTTTAAGTGACCTCTTTCCCAGTTCTAGGCTGGCTGAAGATCCAAGGTCCTGTGTCTTGGGGAGGTTATTCCTGGTGCAACATTTCACATAGAGTCATTTGCTTGTCCCAAGTTAAACTCAGATTTACCACATTGAAACTTGGGAGTACATGTGAGTCATTAAAACATGCAAAACATTCAAGTTCCTCATAAGTAATCAACATAAATTTTGGGCAATAAGACATGAAGTGTCTTATTACCCTGGAATACAACTTCAATTTACAGATACAGGATTCATCACTCATGCTTAATATATCCCTTTTTTGCAGTATGGAAGTATGGATTTTCAACAAGTAGAAACAAGGTTAAATAAAATGAACAGATGTATCCCAACTTTTGTTTACCAATTTTGTTATTATTGGTTGCAGCATGGATATGCCATTATTGATCTAGAGAAGCTGAATCCATCAAATATTGAGGACATATGTCTATCAAAGTTTGCTTCGTTGGTTTTGCAGGTATATATTATGTAAGCCATTGCTTGCTTCAGTTGTCTTATGCATTTGACCATTCCTGTGAAAATTGTCAAATTATGATTAATTCTTGTCAAAGTTCTACTAATAGTTTCTTCATTTGCATGCATCAGTTCATCTCACAAAGGCATCGGCCGGTACGAAGTCGCACCTCACAACTTTTGTTGGATTACATTCGTAAATTCCCGTGCAAGGTCTGCTATTCTTCACTGCACCAGTACCTCATCTGCATTCCTGTTGTCATTTTCCAAGTTATTGTTTCTTTTGAAATTTGAATTACTCCCATGCGCAAAAGGATAACGTCTGTTGAATTACTAAATAATTTAAGATGCATTTATGTCTATCAGTTTCAGGGCCTATACAGCTTTCACGATAACATTACAAGATGGATATTAGGAACCTATTTGGGTGTTAGTTCCATATAACTTTCAAATAGTACTGGTAAGATAGTATTATTTGGATATGAGAAGAAAGTGTTTTAGAATTGCATGAGAGCCATATGATTTAAGGGTCATTGCTTTGTTCAATGGTTAACTCTGGGCTGGCAAGCATGAGAATGTGGCTTCAATTTTTGAAAGTGGCCTTGTCTGCAAAAAATGCCAAAGGTTGGGTAATAGCCCTTCTATAACAGCCATATGAATTGAACAAACCCAGCAAAAGAATGAATGTCTTCTCCTTGTAGGCTTGTTTAAGCATGCCTTGGTATCTGTAAAGAGGGTACCGTTGCTAAGCGAGAAAAATCAGCTACTCCCATTAGCATAGCCTTAAGCTAAAACCATGAATCACAGCCCTTGATGTATTGCTGTGGCCCCACCTTGAATTGGATGAAGTGACATTAAGTTCAGGCCACAGCAAACATCAAAAGCCCTGATTTCATGGTTTTAGGCCAAGGCTACACCAATGGGTATAGCTGATTTCTCCTCATTTCCACATACATAAAACATGAGCAAAGTGGATGAGCACCACATGGTTATGTCATTGAAATAGTGAATTAGGTGTATCCATTGTGTTAATAAGATAATAAACTAGGTACTAGTTTCAAATATCACTGTCATTCATCAACTAGGCAGTATGGATGGGATAATCTAGGCTCAAACCACTTTTGTTTTTGTTGTTGCCACTGTTATCATTATCATCCTTGTTAGGTTACCATGTATCTCTTGGCTTTAACTTCTATACCATTTAAATTTTCACTCACATCAGCTTGCCTCAATTCGTGTTGTTCATGGTTCCATTATGACAACCCTGCAGACATCCCTTACTGCAGCTGGTTGTTATCTTTGTGCAGCTCCTGGGTCTAAAGGTTCAAATATTATTGTCTGCTGTTCACTTGATTCACCTCATCCGTCAAAGATGGAAACATCTTGGACATCTTTCTCTGAAGGAATGAAGTATTGCCCACAAACTGATATGCAACAAATTATCATGGATGGAAAATCATATTCAAATAGCTTGCTGCCAGGTGCCACAGAAGTGCCATTTTTAGATGTAACACCTTCAGGGTCTCTTCTAAATGAAGCCAAGAATCTTGGTATTCTTAGTGAGTTGACTCATAAAAGCATTCTCCTCTTGCAAAAAGAGGAAAATGAGAATTTCAAGACCAAAAATGAAATTATGTTTGAACATGACTTCAGGCATGAAATAAAGTCTGCTAGTGCTTTCCTAAGAGAACCACTTCAATCAGGGAAGATCTGCCACTTCATGAGTAGATTCTTGGTTACATGGAGACTATGCAGAGAGAGCATTGAAGATACATTTCCTCTGGAGGAGACTTGCTGCACCTGGAACTCAGAAGGGGCAAGTGGTGATTATCTTTGCAGGTCTTGCATTGTTAGCCATGAAACAGTGGCTGAGGTCCGTCCCATGGTTGATTCTGATTGGCTATATCTTGCCAACCTTTCAAAGTCTCAGATAAGAGAAAGTCAACACTTCCAGTCAGGCGATATGATGAACCAGAGAGAGATGAACTCATGTATAGATTATGTAAGGTTATCAGCTCAAAGAGCTCTCCAGTCCTTGAAATCTATTCCTGTTGCTGCAAGAAGAAGCTTGCCTGTCCTGGTCAATCCTCAAGGCCTATTACTAAGCATTCCAGTATGTTATAATGTTTTCCTCTTATTATTTTCTCTTTGTAGAAAATCTTTTTTTGTTAAATACCACATTAAGCAACCCCCTTTCTGAAGAGTGAAGACCTAACCAATTAATAATGTATCCACTGCATTGGCTTCCATTTAGGAGTTCACTGATTCAAATTTCAAACCTGAACTCAATCCTGGAATGTTCATGAGTCAGCATCCAGCTGGTGGATTCCTTGCTTGCCAGAATGTATTGCCAAGGAATCACTATTGGTAATCCACTACATCATAAAGCATGCAAAATTGCAAACTCAGCAGCTTAGAGCCACCCACCACAATTCACTTTCCGCTTGAGGAATTTTCTTTTCCCAAAAATACTCACATTTTATGCTGGATTTCAATTGGTCATATTGATATTATGCCTTGCTGTCAAATAGAGCTTACTACCTCTATTTAAGGGATCCAAGAAACCAAAGCACAATTGGACATTGGCTCATTCCTGTTTAATCATGTCTAACCCTTCACTTTACCTTTATAACATTTCCTGTTCGCTTTTGTTAGTTTGTTTATACTATTGATTCATTCAGCCATTTCTGACATATCATCAAGTCACTTTACTTGAATTTTTCATTTTCTGTTGAGGTGTCTATTTATCACTATAGTAATTCCTTGCATCTCAATATACATCAGTCACTATTCCATCTACAACTTCTTGAGAGATTGCTACTTGTTCTCTCTATCATAATCCTATTGCCACACCCACATCTACAGAACCACCAGTTTCTTATGCAGATCAATCCTTATCAACTTTTTTCAATCTGCCCAAATCAAAATGTGAGATTTTGACTTTGTAAATAGATCTCTCGATTTAATTTTCTTTACCTTCCCTGACTTTTCTGTAGGCAACAAAATAACCATGTTATTCTTTATTATATGATTATGACTATATCTCATTGAAGATTCTGATACCATTGACCCAGCTGAAAAGCCAAGTTCTTCATTGACTGCACAGATATCATTTTTTCAAGTCAATTTGTTACCAAGCAACTTTTATTAGTTCTACCTTTTAGTATTAGTTATTTTGACACCTGACAAATTGACATCTTTTGTTCTTTTTTCAGAGCATTTGTTTCAAGCATTGCCCTTACTTGATGGTTTCTTCTGTATTCAAGCCAAGAGTACCACTTGGAGGTCATAGTTCATTTATCTGATATCTGGGGTTAGAGAAGAATTTCACGGATGTCTATATAAGGAGTATCTTGCATCAGTCATCTTTTTTTATTAGACAGCCCTTGCCACCAAGTAGCACCCAGTGCCTGCAGTATATAAATTATTTCTGCCATTTCTCTATTTATTTTTTGTCCCTTTTATTTTGGAGAAATCCCAACTCCCAAGATACTGGAGAGAGATCCTCACAATGGAACCATTTATTATGATAATTAGCACCCACCTCCCGCCCCCAATTATTGTCTTGCTGTTTGTCAATCTTAAGCTTCTTACGGAAAATTCCAAGTGTCTCAATGTATCAGTTGGAAGTTCTTAAAAACTTGATTATAAGTGGATGAGAAAACAACACTATGTGTTTCGTTCAGTACAAAAGTGTATAATGATGGAAATTTTTTTTTTTTTTGACAAAAACTAGTGATGGTGGATTCATTTCTTTGTTCAAGTAGTTATTTTTTAAGTCCTTTTTGCTGTCTGTCACAATTGCCCCCACTCCCTATCAATAGAACACTTAAATCCACTACCCACCCAATATCAAGAAAGGGAAGAGACCTCCCTCACCAAAAGAAGAGAAATGTGGAGAATCCTTTTCCTGCCTCTCATCTCGCATGCTCATAGTTGGCTTTTCCATTATATTGGCCGAGGACATCCACCAAAAGGTTACACCTGCTTAGTTCTAGTTTTGTCCATCTTAAATTTTAACATTTAGTCATTTCCTCTTAAAAAATATAAATAGAACAATTGAATATTAAAATTTATATATTTATAAATATTAATAAGAACAAAATTGGTCTCCCCAGATTAAAATATAAATGCATATCTTTAATTCCATACTTTTTCCAAATCTTAGTTCACACCTTACAAAGCTTTCAACGTATTTCTTATGCTTATACCTCATTTATAATCAAACTTCGATGAGTTTTTTTTTTTAATTTGTAGGAGACTCGGTAGTGTATCCATGTGTATCCCTAATCCCTATGTCTCTTAAATTTGTCTTTCCAATACTCCTTGTATTTTTGATATCTTGAACCTTGCCTTCCATTGACAAGGTTAGCAAAGGAAGCTATTTTCAAGGTAAAATCGATGGTGGCTTTTTCAGATTATCAGAACGGTTCCGAATATTTAACATGTTGATGCCTTTAACTCGATTAAAGACATGAGATGTAATTAAGCTAAGCCTTGTCGAATGCATGATTGAGGTTCTAACTGCAGAAATGTTCTCTTTTGTGAAGAAATGAGCAGGCTCAGAATATAAAGGCTTGAAGACACTTTGAATCAAATTCCATGAACCCCAACTCTAAAAACCAATGTTGGCATTCAGGGTCTTCTGTCAACTTTACATGAATAATCTTGACAGGAAATATGAATTGCAATTCACTTGAGGGAGAGGGATACAGTAAGGATTATAACAAATGATCAATGCTAGCTTTCTCGTTCTTCCAAAGCTAGGAAAGATGTAAACCACTGTTTCCAAGGAGCATCCTCTTGCTGTTCAATCCATGATAAAAAGGTACTATCCAACAAGCAGAAGACGTTCACATAGAGGAGTTGGTACCTCACTGGAACAAAACGGAAATTTGCAACTTGAAGGACTGGCCATATCCCTCCCTCCAAAATCAAGGCCGGAAGGAAATCCCGCTTTACATCTTCTTTCACCTGAGCAACACTCTTGCCAGTTGAGAAACCAATATAAGTGAAAAATATGAACAGATCCAGGGGTCCAAAAATTAAGGAATCCATTGCCACTTTTGTAGCAACAAACCGTGGTGATCTTGGTTGTAGATGAAGTTGCATCCTTATGAATCTGTCTAAGCCCTCATACCTACAAGAAGGCAAACAAAAAGCAATGAAAAGAATTCATTTTGAACAAGATAATACCTTCTTTCCTCTGATGCAACATCAATAATGAGTTATTGAGCTATATAACCACCGTATTTTAAGAGAATCTACTTCAGAGATTTATTGAGTACTTTGATTTCTGGTCCAAACATCACCCAAATAATCCAAAGAATGTTACAAGGGCAGTCCATATTCCATCATTAAAATTTTTGCAATGATGTATTTGTATGCTTCAAACAGGTGAGAAGTAGAAATAAAAATAGAATGAGAACATGGTGAGACCTCACAAGTCACAATATCCATAATTCCATACGACACCAGGCTCATGTACTTGATCAAAATTTGTGAATACAACTGTGGTGCAAGGCAATAGAAAAAAAAATGTTATTTTCCTTCAATTTTCAGTTTTTTGACAAACTAAGTTTGGTTTCACTTTGAATAACCTTTTAGAAGCAACAAAATACTAACTGATACAAGGTTTGAGTGGCAGAGGCAAACTAATATGGGAGTTGGTGTTGGCAGCAGTTGTATAGACTTGATGGACTGAAAGGAACAAAAGGATCTTCCATGGGAAGGACAGGAGCAAGGAGGAGCTCATTAGAAGTCTCGTTGGCAAAATCAGTTCCTGGGTCTCTATTTCTAGGGAGTTTGCTCAGCAAGCAACTTGGTAGCTTCTCTCAGTCTGTTTGCTTGTGGGATCTCTGAGAGGTTTGTGTATTTTGAGGAGCTGGCTGTTGTTGACCCGCAAGTGTGTATTGTACATTGAGATTTTGAACTGCCATTGATCATGGGTTCAAAAGTTCTGTTCGGTCCCCTTCTTTGGGCTCCATGTTTGGCACATTTAAAGAATCATTTTACTACCCGTTAATTTTTTCTTCCAAAGTAAGAAAATATTAGTGCTTAAGTGAAATTTTTTATGGTTTAACCTGTGAATCTTCAATATATATCAGCGCAATCATAAATATCCATGAACCACTGATAGCTATAAGACTTACATAAATTGAGTAGATTAGATGATAATAAAGTCACTAACATTTAAAAATTGTATATATTCATTGAACTAGGTGAATGAACATGTATATTAAGCTTTTTTTGTATAGTAGTTTCTTTCCAACTTTAACCTTTACCTCCCTTTGCTTCCATTTTCCTGTCACAATTTAATATCTACTGAGTTTCATTTACCTTAAGAAGAAAAGAATAAAGTTCCCTCTCTGACCACTTTTTTTACTCTCTAAACCACTTGAATCCATGCACTCCCACTGAAGATTACAAGAAATTCTAATTTTCAACATCCATGGCTTCTGTATTGGAAACTAGGGCTGTCAATGATACCTGATTATCCAAATCTGAGTTCAAAAACTACTATAATTAAATAGGATTTGGGACTTTGGGTCTCAGAAAAATGGATCCATTTATAATATGGATTGGATATGAAACTATCCAAGGGCCATTTTGTGGTGTAATGGTAAAATATCGGGCTGATAAGCATCAGAATACAAGTTTTTCTATTAGTGGCCGTTGTGCAAAAAATATTGAAGGTTGCCCCTCCCAAGACCCCATATAGCAGTAACTGACATTGGGTAATGGCCTTTATATGGATCTACCCCAATCCAATCTGATTAAGACCCAAGTCTGATAATATTAGTAATTAGATTGTAAGTGCATATGTTTATAATAAAACCAACATATATTCACTAATAAAGTTTGTTCAAGCATCACATTTTTTAAAGGCTCATAAGTTCATGTCCATGGAGATTGGCTATATTGCATATAATTCATTAGAAAGTTTCTATATTCTTCTGCTACGGTTGGACTGTATAAAATTATTTCTCTTTGTAGCCAATAAACATTGTGTGTGAAGGCCCCTAAATAATTCCTCCCTTTTCTTGATTTTATATCATAATCCATCCAGTATTTCTTTAATGCGGCCACATGCATCACAGTAACTGATTCAAGTATTGAGTTACTTATCCAACAACTCAGTTCCAAACAAATCAGTTAGATAACCAGGATGTTAATCCTCCATATGCACAAACTCATGTATGATTCATGTTGTTCTTCCTCCTCCATATGCACAAACTCATGTATGATTCATGTTGTTCTTCCTTCATTCCAATAGGTTAGTTCTAACGTGGGCAGGTGCCATAGGAGCTTCCCCACTGTTTAGGACCATGGTCATTTGTTTTTCTATCATACTTTACTAAAGAAAAGAGGTACATGATGGAGATAGAGGCAGGACTAAAAGGTAAACACTAACCAGAAATGGCCAACTGGTCCAACAAATCCAAACCCAAACATGCTTGTGATAGCCACTCTTCTCCAATTGATCTTGAATTCTTCATCTGTATCTGTCTGTATAAAGCAGAGATTGTTACAAGGTGCCAATCACCTATCTTGGAGACAAGATATGCATGCAGAAGTGAAAATCATGACCAAAAATACAAGGAGCTTTAAATTTATGCCCTTCCAGTAGTTTGTATATGTAAAACATTTCCATATCATCACATATGAAAATGGTCATAGTTACCTAAAATTGCATGCTACAATTATCAGCAACCCAAACATGCTTGTTCTCACAGATGGATGAAGCAAAAGTGTGTCATCTGCATAACTTGGTTCTAAGACAGGAAACCTGGCATAACTCCGGTTGAAAAATGATTCATCAACAAGATGCAAGAGCATGCACCTTGGACGTTCATACCACAAAACTGAAATCATTTATAGGAAAGAATAGTATCACAAGAAAATGAAAAGCTACTTCCTTTGTCCCTTAACAAATCAGCTGTTAAGGGAAAAGGATCATACAGGAAACTTTGATAAATAGGCTAGGATTTGACTTCCATCATCTGATAATGACAGGAAAACCTGTCATTCAGAAAACATGTCAAGTACAGGAGATGCCTATATGCTAATATCTGTTCGACAGAGCAGGTTTTTCTTCTTCCTAATGCAAGTTGGATTTTCTCCTCATATCATATTCATATCAAAGCCCTACTTGACAAGTAATTTTCCTTCTACAACAGTTTTTGTGGTTTTTCAACTACCATAGAAGGTCACTTTCTATTTTACAAAAAGATATTACTTCTTATTCAAGAAAATGAAAATGTTTGGGTATATTCTCAATCAAACGACCCCACCTAAAAATATTAAAAGTTGATGAAAAGAATTCAATAACCACAAAAAATGTTGCTGACCTTTAACTTGTATTATTGATTGAAAATGCAACACAATAGGAAGAGATTGACAGAATTGAAAACATACACAAATTCTAAACGTGCAATGTTTAAATAGTTACTCAATACATGATTTACTTAACTGGTGCAATTTTCAAAAATAAGATTTAACGACACAACCAAAAAATTTTGAGCTGGCTCAAAGCAGTCATCATCCATTAGGCAGGCATCAGGCAATACTGCTTCTCCACATATCCACAATATTGTTGCCAATTCTTCATGTTATAATACCATCTTATGTATTCTTCCACATAGCACTGGTAGTTTTCACTAGAGAAATATGCCAATTCCAATAATATTTCATGTTGATACTTGGTACTCATGGAAATGGAAATATGTCATGGAATTATTAGAAAATATGTCAACATCTTAATCCATGTTTATGGAATCTTCCTGACCATATTAAAAAGAATGAGAGCATAATACTAAAATCAATGAGTGATAGAAATTCAGTACATAACACAAAACAAATCTATGGGCCATGTAAAAGCTTATAATATTTCATACTTCAGCATGCTTGCTATAACATGTTAATATAAATTACAACACCATATTGACCTAATACAATATAATACATGTTTCCTTTATCCCTTTATACCAATGCCCGCATTCATACTTGTTAGATGGGATCATGGGAATTATTGTGGTAGCCAAGCTTCTTGCTCCCAATCATTTAAATGTGTCAAAAACATACTACTTCCTTCCAGAGAGAGTAGCTTTTTTCTCTTTCCTTTTCCACCCTCATTAAAGAAAATGCATGATAGAGAAGCCTCCTTTTCACAAATAAGCAGGATGGATCATTGATGTATAAGTATAACAGAATGGCAAAAGACATGACTAAATTCTCAGTTTCTCACATGGTCTGCAATGTTATTGGTAAAAGATGCTCCATAGTTCCAAAACTTTGTATGCAAAAGCTGCCTCCAGAAGCATGCAGAGAAAAACAAATAAGAAAAACTTCTATGCCTCAAATTTTCTTTTTTTAGGAGGTGAAGTATTGTGTTGTATTGATTTACTATAGAAGGAAAAGAACATCAGCCCATGCACAACGAGAACCTGTACATTGGGAATATAGAAAACAAAGAAAATTCTTTGAAAAAAGGTCCAGCTTGCAAAAAAGAACTAAGATGGACACCCTGAAAGATTCTTTGTACACCCAGCCAAGAGCAAAGCAAACCTATGAGGTTACTTCTGTTTCTTCTAAGGCAGAATATTTGTTGCCAAATATATGATTGTTCCTTTCCTTCCATATTGTCCAAATGGTGGCACCAGGAAAGTATTCCATAATTATTTACCCATTCTATTCAAGCCTTCAATACTCCAACCCTGCAGCAGCTGAAGCAATGATTCCAGCAAGCAGAGGTGAACCGCAAAACAGGACAAAACCATAACCCATAGCTGAGAAGAGAAGCTACAACGCATGAAAAGCTGAATTGAGGACTCTGGGGCCTCATGCATAAAGAGCAGAGAGAACTACGAAGAGCCATCCCTTCTTAGCAGATTATCTATAGTTAGGCATCTATTGAGGGCTGCAGTCCATACCAGGAAAGCTATTTTAGATGGGATGTGAGAACTGTAGATTCTAACCCAGGGGAAAGCACTATCCTGTCTGGGGGGGAGAGAGATGACTGAACTGAAAAATTGCCTAATACCCTTTCATCATTTGCATAGTAATTGGACGGGAGGTTATAAATCGTAGTAAAGAACAATATCCTCCTCAAGCAGTAAACTCTCTATACTGTCTTACTCCACTGCTGTGGAACCTCTCAGGAGTCGGGACTAGGGGTGGCAATTTTTCACCCAACCCGCTGAACCCACCCAGTATCTAACCCACCCAACCCGCCCATTTACTTGGCGGGTTGGAAATGGGTTTGATCACCCATTGGGTCAATTTAAATGGGTTGGGTTGTGGATAATCATTGGGTTAACCACTAAAGATATAAGTACTAATTCCTTAGACATTTTTTAAATTTTTTTCATTTGAATGAAATAATTTATAATTAATGCATTAATTTTCTATTATTTATTGATTAAAATTAGTTTTGTCTCAAATCAACACACTTCACCCAAATCGACATAAATCCAAATCAACTTGACCCGAGTTTGGACCAGCTCAACTTGGTCTAAATATGAACAGACCCGAGCGCCTCGGGCTCCTCGGTTTAGTTCATTTGGGTCAGTCAGCCAGTCCAAACCCGACCCGACCCATGGCAAGCCGACCCGGGAAGACCCAAAACCCACCTCGCTTGCTTTGCCCATTTTGGACAATCCGGCTCGGATCGTACTTGTACACCCGACCCGAATTGGCCCGATTTACTTCTCTTGACCCGTTTTGGGACTGAACCGGTCTGGTCTGGTCCAACTGGACTGATCCGGATCTAAACGGTTCAACCACTCTTGATGTGATTAGCTCAAAGACAATCCAATTAGATAGTTCAAGTTGGTCTGACCAGTTTGAACCTAAGTGGTTTGGTCAAACCCGAAACCCGAACATAGTCAAATGGCTTCGCTGCTTGTGTAAAAATAACATGCATATAATGTGATTTGAACCTTCACCACTTGTATAAATAGCAACTATTATTACCACCAAGCTATGACCAACTTATTTGTCAAGAGGGAGTTAGTTTTTTGTTTTAAATACATAAATATAAGATTAATGAGTTTGGGCAGGTTGATTGGGTTAAAGCGGGTTTGGGTTCAACCCAACCCATTTAATTTTATATAACTGGGTCATTAATGGGTTGGCGGGTTAGATGGATTGGGTACCTCAACCCAAACCAAACCCAACCAACCCGCCCAATTGCCACCACTAGTCAGGACTAACAACTTTATTGATGATCATAAAGTGGGTGTCAGTTTATGATAATTTCCCAGTGAAAACTCCAAAAAGTGAAACATAAAATCATGTTTCCTCATAAATCAATCCACTAATACATGTATTAGCTACAATCCACATGCTGAAATCATTCTGAAAAAAACTTCCATATGCTTGCACCTGACTTGAGTCATGCTATGCTGCAAATGCATCAGATGCTAAAACAGTGATTTTGATCCTTGCACTGCATGTAATATAGTTTCCTAATTAATAAACTGAATGATGTGACAAATTTATAAAAAAAAAAAGCCAATATTCTGCCAGTTATCTTTTTCTTACTGCAAATTTTTTAAACAAACTATGGGCAACAGGGCAAGTTCCAAGGGATCTTTGGTGTGAAAAGATGCTTTCTTGTTTCTATTGAAGCTTTTTTCCTCAGATGGCATCTAAAAGGTTTGAGAAAAGAAGTAAAACAGTTTGGACTTTGGAGTATGATATTCTTTGCAATGATTTGATCTACTTGGGGCAAAACAAGTGTGTGTATCTTTCAGGATAAAATCTGTACAGATGAGATGCTTTCAAAAAACAAAAAAGATCTTCGGCATGTTATGTGCGTAGCTGGCAACTCAAAAACATTCCAGGGGAATATTTTATCACTCTTATTTTTATGTTGAAAGCTTATTTCCGACCAATTAATGCTTTTTGATATTATCACATTTTGTATATTCCCATTGTACAGTACCATGTTGTGCATAGTAGTACAACTTGGGCAGGCTTGTATTGAGCTTTTTTTTTATTTTGAATGAGCACAGCCTGAGGGGCCAGGTGCATTGTAAATTCTTCAACTCGGGTGACTAACTTGAATACTTAGTTTTTTATTTTATTTTTTTAAGAAAAATTAACTGATTATATTAAAGAGGATATTCAAAGGTACATGAGATGATGTACAACAGAAAACCAACAATTAGAAATTACAAGGCAGATTTCTATCACTAATAACAGTGTTTTAAAAGGAGTGGGAAGTGTATGCCTGGAGGCATGCCTCCAGGTGAGGCACTCCCAAAACGCCCTGAGGCATATGCCAGAGGCACTGACACCTCTGAGGCATACACCTCATGTGCTTTTTTCATGAGGCATGCTAGAGGCGTACGCCTCATGCACACCTCATATAAAAAGACTGAAAAAAAAAGAATTTTAAAGGAAAGGAAAAGAAAAGAAAGGGAAGGGAAGGGAAAGAAAAATAAAGAAAGAAAAGAAAAAAAGAGAGAAAAGGAAAGGGAAGGGAAGAAAAGATAAGGGGAAAGAAAGTGGTCTGCCCCCGGTCCCTTTGGTTGGGGGCTTTGCCCCCCCGCCCCCCTTTCAACTAGTGTTGTGCATCTTTATTCTTCATAATATAAAAGATTTTTATTAAAAATAAAGAAAAAACGAGATCCCCCCTTCCTCTTCTTCATCTTGACCCCCCTCCTCTTAAAGAGGCTTACGTCTCCTTGTGTTCGGGAGGCTTATGCCTCTTACGTTCGGAACTACACCTCATGCCTCTAGGTAGTGGAATGCCTCACGTCACGCCTCCGCGTTGTAAAACATTGCTAAATAAAGCTTCCCTGTGGGTACCCGACTTGGCCAACTGATCTGCCAAAGAGTTTAACTCTCTAGGAACAATTAGGTGTACATGGCTGTTGACGTATTCATCTGATACTTATACATTACCACAATACTTTACCTTTTCATAAATAAATAAGTATTTGAATGCTTGGGTATTTGCCTTTTTTTATCTTGTGGAAAAAGGATCATACCCTCTGTGGCATACCAATGCCTTTGTGATAACTTAAGTTCCAAAATATGTACAGAATAATAATATCATGAGAGCTGTTCAGACCACAGGTAGGAAGCTGCAGGTTAAGGTATGAAAATCCAAGTTGAGGAAGTCAACCATGACTTCCAGCAGTATCTTTAAAAGTTACCACCAAAGATGGCATCCTGTAACTTATAAAAGTGAAAGGAATGTGACACAGCTAGAACCCAAATCTGAGCTGCATACAATTATAATAACAGAAGATCAACTCCTTGTTAGGACACCTATAGGGAGTTTCCCTACCAAAAGAATGAATATAAGCCATGTTTTTTTCAAAGGGGAGTTGTTGAGTTGAGACCAATAAATGTCACCTTGGCTCCACATAGTTGGCAAAATTTTACAGCATAAGTGTTAAAATGGCACTCTCCAAATAACATCCAAAATTAAACTAAACCAATTGATCCTGAAAAATACAGTTGTCAAAGTGCCACCTAGACACCTACCTAGGCAACAAGGTGCCTAAACGCCAGTGCTTATTCAAAAAAGGTGCCAATCTAGCCAACAAGGCACCAATCTAGGTCACAAAAATCAAGACAGGTGCCTTATTGTAATGTTATTATTATGGCTACATATTGTTACTATGTTTGTATATATTTTGATCAATCATACAACCTATATATATATATATGCTTTTGTTTAATAATTTTAAAACTAGAACATAAATGACCTGAGGATTATAAGAAAAGAAAAAGAGAGAAGAGAATGATAAAGAGTTTTCTTCTTTTTTCTATAGTCTCTCTCTCTCTCTACCTCCTGTCCTATCTTTCACATTACGTAGAAAAAGGACTCTACCTGTTGTTCTTCTTTTCCTTTTTTACTACTCTCCCCCTCTCTCTTAATTTGTTTATTAGTATAAAATTATAGCCTTCTGTAGTTGTAAATAATTTTGTTGACATGCAATTGTTCTATTAAGTATTTATTACGTTATAATATTGGGCTTGAAATATTAAAGTTAATTGATTTAAATGTTATTGTCTTTTAGATACAATGATTTGCTATGTTTTGAGAGGAAAGTTAACATTATTAGTAAAGAGTATTTCCTTTCATTCAATTCAGCAAATATAGGGAGCCAAACTAGAATTTAGCTTTTTCTTTTTAAAATTCTATCACCTAGGTGATCCATTGTCACCTAGAATCCTAGAAACCTTGACAACTAAGCTAAAAAGGTATTTTCACTAATCTATGAGACATTTAATCTAAGAAAGAAACAAAAATTTACAATTTATGAGACATACACCACAGGCCAAGGTTCAAAGTATCAATACTCTCAATACAACAATTTAAGAGAGATGCCTATAGCTTGGCTGATGCTCTGGCTAAGCAAGGGGTGGGAAGAAAAGACTTATTTTGGGCTATGCTGTAATGTTTTCTTCATTTTTTGGGGAGTGGGAGCTAAGAGAGTTTGGCTCCCCTCCCCCTCATTGTACCCGCTTATTTATATCTTAATGAAATTATTTCAGTTATTGATAAAAAAAAACCATATTTTTTTTACTTTATATTTTAACAGTGGACATGTCACATCAGTATTTAACATATAAAACAATTAAAATAAACAAACTCTTATTTATTAGCATATCAATGACCCTGAAGATCAATACTTATTGTTTGATCTCTATAATACATATCGATACTTTGAACCTTGCCCACAGGCAAGATAGCAATCAATGCGAAAAAAGTACCATTATATGGCTATCCTATAAAAGTTAGAGAAACTGATCAAAATCATCTGAAGCATAGAGGGGAGACTAAAAACAACTGAAATCCTACATAAAGAAATATATATAGCAGCTAAAGGAAAGGTAAATTGCATTATCCATAGTAAAACCACACAAGGGGCTCCATATGGGAAGAGTGCAAATACAAATATGAAAGGTTCATGAAAATGACAGCATGTGTATTTGCATTCTTCCCAAACGGAGACCAAAGAATCGAACCATTTAATTCAGCACAATTAAGGTACAACGCGGCAAATGAATATTAAATAAAAGGAAATCTCAACCCAGAAAACTGGGAACATCAATTAGGCAATCCAACAAGAACATGGAAGAGGAAACAAACACATTAAAAATAAATCCAAGCAACGTTGCTGTAAGATATGTGAAAACGAAGCAGATGCCGATTAGACAAAAAAAACAAAATGAGGAAATCATTAAGAATAAGAGAAATGAAAAGGTACCCATCACATAAAACAATGAATTATATAACCAAGACCCATACGAATTCTTCAATTAAAAGGAAAACAGGAGAATTTCTAGGGTTTATTACTTACATAGTTCAGGCGATTTTTTTTCCTTGTAGAGTAGTGAGTAACGGTCTGGGCAGCAACATCTCCAACTCCCCAGAGAAACCCCGAGCTGACGATCTGCGTCTTAACTGGATGAACAGCCAAGCATTTCTGATACCATTTCCACAACCTAAACATCATACGAGAAAACCAATGTATTTGGGCAGCACAGTGATGTTCAAATACAAGCGAGGAGGACAGCAAGATCCTGGAATAGATTATAGAGGGAGAGAGAGAGAGAGAGAGAGAGAGAGATTCCGATGTCTATGCCCTCTTTATGATCGCGCCATGACACGGGGGCTGTGACCATCCACCTCTCCGTGGAGGTGTATATATCAGTTCTTCACAGCTACAGGCTCAATGCTCTCCCAACCGAGACCGAATCTGCTCCTCAAAGCTGGCGTCTCACACGCACAACCTACCATGGAAACATCTTCCGTACTAATTAATTATTATTAACGGGACATGTTCCCAATGCACGGTGGATGTGCATGTGAGGCGTAAGGAGCAGATCCCGTCTCCTCCCAACCACAAAGTCTACCTACATCTCTGTTCTCACAAGATACAATCGACGTGAATTGGGAACATCTCTCCATAAATTTTATGATAAGTGAGATATTCCCTGCCCATAATACGTGTTTTACACGTCAAACACGGCATACCATGTCAGATCTGTACATAATGACTGCACAAATGGGGCTCGCATGCACATCCACCGTGCACTCGGAACATCTCTCGTAAATAATGACTAATAAGTACAGAAGATGTTCCAAATACATGGTAGGATGTCTGTGTGAGGAGCAGATTCAGTCTTGTGAGGAGCAGATCCAGTCCTGACTTTGGTATCATGCTGAGATGGCATTTGGATTTCATGACATCCAACTTGGAAGTTGGAACACGAGAAACCATAGCTCAAAACCAAAGCATAGGTGTGAATAGGTAAACTGCTCAGAACGAGCCTAGCCCAGAAACTATCTCAAGTCTCGACAGCTTATGCTATTGGGCCCCAACAGCCAAAGTTAGAAGTGGGATCTGTTTCTCACAAAGTGGCGCCTCACAGGCGCATTCACCATGTATTAAAAACATCTTCCATAAATAACAACTAATAAGTACGGGAGATATTCCTAATAGATGATATGATATGCGTGTGAGGAGCAGATCCGGTCTCCCAAAGTTAACCCGCCCAAAACCCCTCCCAAATAAGAATTGGGACTTCATGTCATCAAATCACGTTCCAACTAAACCCTATCAATATGATCTGACACGTTACATTTCACCATCAAAATGGAATCCATCGACCTCAGCGCCCTACAAGACATCTCAACTGTGTATTGGTAATATTTCCCAATGATAAGTACAATATATGTTTTTGATGCACGCTGAAATGTGCACATGGGGCGGCAGTGGAGCTTGTTCGGTGGGGCGCTGATGTGATTTTGAACTCATCATACAAATAGGACCTATTATGTGAGTGCGCGTTCTGGTGCACCGAATGCGTGAACCCGCCAATTACAGGCGACCATGTCAGCGTAATAAAAAAATGTTTAATGTTAATAGGTCTTTCTTTACCCGTTAGCTGAAGGTGTCCGGTTGAACCGGATATAAAAGGACAAAAAAACTTAAAACACATTTTTAATTAACTTGGATATTCGATTTCCCTCACCTAGAAACATCCATTAGCGATCTCATTGCATACAGGCAACGGTGACTTACGGGAGGAGTCTAGGGAGCTTCACCGATCGAAGTGTTTCGAAATATCCGAAGCCAACTGGGATGCAATCGCCAAGTGGTACATGATGCCGTAGAAGTTGGCGGTCTCCCCTGTCATCATCTGGAGATGTTACGCCTTCTCTTGCATGAAGCAACCCAGAGTGAATCAAGGCCTCGGCCGTGCCATTGCCGACGCGGAATCAAATTTTTCCCTTTTCTTAACATTTACTATGCAAAAATACCTGGATTGAAATCCCTCTCAACCATCCTCTCTGGAATATTTCCAACACCTTAGACCTGCTCCACCCCTTATTGATTCCAAGAATAGCCTCAAATTGAGCCATGCTTGTTCAATTAACACCAATCCTTCTCTTAATCCGAGTAACGTCGAACTAACATTTATCTGGTTTGCAAGTCTATAGCTCAACCCACATCCAGCCTTGCACACATGCGTTGGCTTCCCACAATTTCAAGCAATGGGGAAACCGATTCACCACTTTGTCATCCCCATCGGCGAATGTGGTCAGTTTCTCCTTCCACCTTCTCTTTTTCTTTTGTAGTTTTTTCTATGAAGTTTCACGAGGTTGTTCCCTAGTGATTCTTGGCTCCACTTCAGCAGACCGAATTGCTAGTAACAGAGTTGGTGTTTGTAGACAAAAATATATACTTCTTTTTCCCTTTCCTCTCTAATCTCCACTCAAACTCCATTTGCTTGATACAATGAGAACAATAGGAGCGAGTTTCTAGTATGGTCTCTCTCTCACTCTCTCTCTCTCATTGTTTTATGATTTTGTTGTATTTGTTCTGTAATTTCAAGTATTTGACTTTTTTTTTGTATTCGTCAATGCCCCAAATCTATTCTTCAATCAATGGTTATTGATTAGTTTAACCTTATATCTAGTTCTCTGTTTTTCTTCGTTTTGAAGTTTTTCTATTTAAGTTGTTAAATCACCTATTCATCTACGTTTTGGCACCAGTTTTTTCCCCTCAATCTATGGTTAATGGTGCATTTGTAGATAAAATGTGTCACCGGTATCATTGCGATCCTTTGTTTTAAAGCTGTCACAACTTACTTTGTTTCATCACTTCTTCTCTACCTGTTTTTCCCATTTTTTTGTCTTTTAGTGGCCGGTTCAACTAATTGGACCACCGTTAACACTGCAACCCCGTTAAATCCCTAATAAATTTATTAAGATTATGTGTTTAGTTTTTATTTGTAGGTTCATGCATCCAATGCACCCACTGGTGCATAGAATGCGAGGTCCTATCATGTATGAGATGTATGGTGTTGAATCATATTAATAAGGTGTCAAAATTTGAATGTAAAATGGAACCTCGGGGCAAACCCAGCCAGAATGGTGATGGAACTGCAAATGTGATACATACATGATTCAATAATAAATCATTATAAGAATAAAAAATGGTTAATAAATTGAAAATAATCAGAATATGTATTGTATGTAATCTAATTGAGTGAGATATGTAAAAATGCAAACGCAAAACGCAAGAGAAGAGAGAGGAAGAGAGATTTAAATAGTGTGAAAGAGAAAAATAAATGGAGAGTACGAGGATGAGGATAGGAAAACATGAATGGATAAGCGTAAGATGGATATGAATGGTTATAAATGTTTAAATATTATAATAATGGATGACATGGGATTGTTGCTATACGAAAATATCAATGGGGTCAATTTCATGTTCAATCCAGAAAAAAAATGGAAAAAAAAAAAAAAAAACTGGATTCATATCGTCTTAATTAAACTGTGTTGGAATTTAAATTTGGAAAAACGAGTACCATTTGTCAGTTCAGATTTGTTGCTACAATTTATTACTAACACTGTCAATTAAGCTTGACCTAAATATGCCACTTGACTTGATCATGTATGTGGACATAGCATAATTCATCAAGGAGAGTAATTTGATTCTACTAAGGTTATGTTTGATTTGAAAAAGTTTGTAAAGGTTTTCTTACCTGTTTTACTTTTTTTTTTCCCTTAAAATCAAACACAGCCTAAAAATAACAAATTTGGGTTAAGTTGTACACTAATCAATTAGAATTTATCCAAAATTTACAAGGGTGGTTTTGATCGGTCATACTCTCAAGAGTAAGAGTGGGTGGTTATGATATCGGAAAATCTCGCTTTTGAACCTCCCATCAATCAAATCAAAATGGGGTGGGGAAGAAGGGGGATCCCAATACGAAAGGTGGGTGAAGGTTTATATTTTAGAAGCATTAATAATCTTTGTAATGGTTATCTTTTGGTTACCTTTCGAGTGGGGATTTTTTATAGTGGGTGATCAAATTTAAACCAATTAAAAGGATAAAATACAAAAACCTCTCCTAAAGTTTTTAACAATAATAAAAATCTCCCCCGCTGAATTTTTGAGAAACTTAACAAAATTCTCCCTTTTGTCACTGACGGAGAATATATACATTTATGAAATTACCCTTGAGGCATCATTTAAAGATATCAAAAATATCATATTTGCCCTCAGTCGAGCAACATCTCGCTCAGATGCTTGGCTGCTATAAATCCCCTCAATCTTCTGTGGTAATGTGGATCTGCTCTGTATCTCTGTAGCTAAAATTTGCAGCCTTTATATATTTATCTTGTCTTTCTCTTCAAGGAGTTCTTGTAACTAGGGTTCTGATTATTCATTTGATTTCTGATTACCAATAAGAACAAATGAAAATTGTTTGTTCCTCAAACAGGAATTTAGCAATATTACGAGTTCTTCCCACTGTGCAACCCTCATTTAAAAAAAAACAAAGGTATTAGTTCAGTTTTGGTTAACTAATATAGAAAACCGGTGTTTAATTCAACCAATCAATATACATATATTTCTATATATTTTATGTATATTTATGTATGTTATATATATATATATATATATATATATATATATTTATATATCTTTTAGATTTTCTATATATTACAAAGTAATAAATATGCATTATATATATTTATAATATATAATATATTATTTATTATAATATTATATATATTTCTAATTTTTATTATATGTTTTATAAATATAAAAAATCGATGAACCGAATTGATGGTTAACCGGTTAACTGATCAGCTTTAGTTCAATTTCAGTTACCATTTTCCAGAAACCGATAGTACTGGTTTGGTTTCAAAAATAACCCCGAATTCTTAACATCGAGGGTTTCAAACTAATGGGGCCAAAACCAGGCCCTTATAGAGTGTTGGATCTCATAAATGTAAGGGATAGAAATTGGAATCTAGACACCATTAATTCCCTTTTTATCCCTAGGATGGTCCAAAATATTCAAAAAATTGGCCTAACTCAAAACACTTCTGAAGATACCTTTTAGGCCTCGTTCGCTTTTCGGTAAGTTATTTACCTGGGTAAATGCAATTACATGGGTATGTTTTTCCTGCGAAACACTTACCCAGGTAAGTGCATTTACCCATGTTCTTTTATTTTCTAGGTAAATAAGGTAATGATCATTTTAGCTATAAAAATCAATTATTAAAAGGGGCATTTTTGTCTCATTCATTCAAGTGTTAACAACTTTCCCCCTAGGTGGGAAAGTTATTTACCCACCTAGGAATTGGGTATCACTTATCCGAGTAAGTGATACCCCTGTCCCTACATGGATTCTTTGTCAATGGGAACCAACTTTCCCCCATCTCAAAATAAGAAAAAAAGAAGACCCCTTAATTTGGGACCCTGATTCAAAAGGTTGTTTTTTCATTAAATTAGTGTATTTTGTTGCCTTGAACAAAACAATGAATTTTGATACCCTTATAATGCCTAAGCTTCTCTCTCCTTCTTGAAAAAACGTTTGGCATGCGACAATTGAACCAAAATTAAGATGTTTATTTGGGGATGTTGTAATAACAAATTGGCAGTCAATGAAAATCTAAGTTTTAAATGCATTAGAACTGAGGCTTTTTGTAAACGATGCTTTTTGAAAAATAAATCCAAGTTTTACTTGTGAGAAAGTTAGATTTGTAGGCCATATTGAGATCAGGACTTGTGAGAAATTGGCAGTCAATGAAAATCTAAGTTTTACTTGTAATAACAAATTGGCAGTCAATGAAAATCTAAGTTTTACTTGTGAGAAAGTTAGATTTGTAGGCCATATTGAGATCAGGACTGATTTGATAGATAAAAAGTAAATTTTCAATGATTGGTTTGAAAATACAATTACTTTTTTATCAAATAACAATGGAAGTACCGATGACTCTTTTATCCTACTAATATACTCTATGGCATGCATGGCTTTTTAGAAATGAAATTACTTTTTACGATATTGACCCTCCTGTGGAGAGCATTATTTATAATATTAACAGGTTAACACGGAATCTTCAAACAGGTTGAAGGAAAGATTGGATCATATCGCAGCAGGTGACTTCATAGTAACCCGCTACTACGACCAATTTGACCTTAAGTTGGAATGATCCAGCTCGTTGGAAGCCTCCAGACCCCGGTTGGTTGAAGCTAAATTTGTGATGAGGGCTTTAGAAATGAAGGACATGGCTCATTAGATTACATCTTGAGAGGCCATGATGGTTTTTCTTTTGTTTTTTTTTTTTAATTTTTTTTTTTATTTTGTGGCAGGTTGTGGTTTAGTCACTATGCAAGCAGAAGTTTTGGCAATTCCAGAAGAGACGTCTAAATCAGCCCCCACAATGTTCCATAGCACATTTCCACCGTGTATTGGGAACATCTCCCAATGATGATATCATCACTCCTGATATTATCATCGGGAGATGTTTTTAATACATGGCAAGGATGTGCTGTAAGATGTTGGGGGGGGGGGGGCAGTCTTGTGGCGGGCTGATTTGAACTCATTCTAGAAGGTTTAAGTCTTAAAAAAAGACCCTTATCCAAAATTATCATCGAAAGTGACTGCAATGCTTTGGTCGATTGTTTGCTAAATGGAAAATGTGTGTTTTTATCAGAGGAAGTTAAGATTGCTTGTGCAAACTTTGGAAGTCGCTTTTGTTTTTATCCCTTGAAGTTGCAATAGATCAGTTCACTTGTTGGATAGTCATGATTTTCTTTCGTTTTTTGTAAATCTGAGGGTGTTCCCTCCCTTTTGGTTGTCTAAGCCTTTGGAAGATGATAGGTTTGTTGTTGTGTCTGAGTTAGGCTAGTTTTTTTAGTTTTTCTCGTCTTCAGTTTGTTCGTTTTTGGCTGTCTTGTATCCTTTTTTATTTTTTTAATGAATATGCTTTTCTACCAAAAAAAATTATATATTTTAAACCTGGCATAAATTATGAATGATCCCTCCCTTAGGTTGTGTTTGGAAATAATGCAAATGGAGTGTAAATCCAGGTTCAGGGTAAATTCGCATTCTGGTTCACTTTTGCTTGTGTTTAGCAACATTACATTTATGAATTGACAAATGACAAATCAATGCATATTTATATTGATAATAAGATGTAAAAGTACATCAATAAAAAAGAAGAAAATTTGTATTCAAGTGGGCTTTTGATAAAAAAAAAGGCATATGCTTTATTAGAATTCATGTTTGCATCCATTACAACTAAAAGCCTATTTGGTAAGAAAGTAAATTTATCAATGCAAAACTAACCTAATTTTATAATTTATGTAAACCGTTTTACACTCTACATATTTATTTAACTTTGGGAGTGCAATTGCCAAGGGATGATTAGCAAAGAGGGAGTCCCACATTTTGATGCAAACAATCAAATAACTTATGAGCTTATGGTGAATTGACCACTAGCACAACTTAAATTCTCTGTCTCGTGAATCTCCTATGATCAATTAAGCAAAACTATTAACTAGTGAGTAGTTAATGCAATCTTGCAATGCATAGGGTTGAATAAGAGGTAGTTAATAAAAAGTATTTTATTAAGAAGATGTTTAAACCTAAGCAGCCCACCCAAGTCCATCAAGATTGTATTGGATTTAGCTTACATAAGGTTTATTTGGATTGGCAAACTTTGGGCTTTAATCATAGTCTAGATTTAGGCTTGAAATTCATGTCTTAAGATTGGGATTGACTCCCTCAAATTGACCCGGCGCATCTATTTTATACCCTAATTTGGTAAATAGAATTAACAGTGATTCAGAGATATATGAGAGAAAAGAGGGATTAGATTCAGGGGGCGTTCTTTTTTTTTTTTTTTTAAATTTTGAGAGGGGGAAAAGTCATGCCCTTTTTTTAGATTTATGTGGAGACCTATCTCTTAGGTAGGAGTGTCAATTAGACTGGATTTGATCCAATCCGATCCAGTCCAATGTGATCTATTACAAATGGATTAGGTTCAATCCAATCCAATGAATATTTTGGACAGGTCCAATCTGTTCAAATTCATTTTAATTTAGATTGATTTCAACTCAAATCTAATCCACTGACACCTATATTCTTATCTTATATCAATGGACTAGATATTGGCTTAACCCAACTGAATCTAATATAAATTTATTATGAACAGACCAATTCCAGTCCAATCTAATAAATATTTTGGACTGGATTGATCCAATCCAATATGTCTTATTGGTTCATCCAATCCCTCCAAATTAGTTTTGGATTGGATGAAGTCCCATCCAAAATTGGTCTATTAATGACACCCTTACTCCTAGCCTCCTAATAGGTAAATTACATTTTCACCTTAGGAATAATTGCTAACACTTGAATGGGACAAAATTATCCTTTTTAATAATAGAATTTTTATGACTAAAAAACTAATTACCTTATTTACCTAAGAACTTAAAAAATATGGATAAATGCACTTATTTAAATAACTTAAAGGAGAATTCTTTTTTAATGGGATTCGAAAAGATTTTTTTTCTTTGCTCATTGACTCATTGTCATTGGGCTTGTCTTATTTCTGCCAAGGCTATAGTTGGGCAAATTATCATACACCGTAGATCAAGAATGTTTAATGTGATGTGCGGTATATGATGCATCTGTAGAAGCCGACCCATGACATTACAATAGAGCATCACTAAATTATTAAATGACCAAACTACCCTTCCATTTTTCGTATGCGTGGTAAAAGGAATCTCCCCGAAGGAAAATGTCAAAATGATTTTAAGCCACGACGACCTCTTCGAGGTTGACATCCTTGGATTGGAATTATCTTATCAAGGAGTGATCTTGACCACTCGTTCATTTTCTCACCTTGTGGATCTCAGTAAGTTACGTACACAGATGCCCATCGGTGTTAATCTGACGGTCAGAGATGATGGATGGCATTTTGCCTCAGTTTTTGGTTTTCTGCCAACCAGAGCCATGAATTCGAGATTCCAATCCGACGGTTTTAAGGATTGGACATTCATGATCGCATGGTTCTGAGGCTACTTGGATTTTTTTATTGTTTATCAACAGAATAAAAGAAATCCAGGAAAAAAGAACAACCGCTACTTTATTTTTCCATGTCTTGTTTCCTTTTCTTTGTTTTGTTCCATTTACATTCTCCACCTCACTCTTTTTTTTTTAAGCTCTTCATTTTCATTCTGATATTTTTTTGTGGATAAGAATCTCTAATGGATGTCCCAAGATTACATGGAGATGCAGTGTAATCATCTCTCTCTCTCTCTCTCTCCAACCGCCCCAGAGTACCGAGGACTATTCCCAGGTACTCCATCGAACTCCTCAGGAATGTGGCCTTATTTCATACTTGAATTCCACTTTCTTGCAGCTTGCAGATTATGGGGTTAATGGATCTAACGTACTCGATACTTCGATAATTTAGCTTGTTGGGGTTCTCGGTTTCGCGTATGTTTCCACCTACCTGGCTTTTAGTTTCGAGATTGAGAATAAGATTGGATGTTTGTTGCATTCAGTTAATGGATCCCGTATGGGTTTTGATTGGTTTATCATAATTACTGTTTGTTATGTTTGTTGTACTTTTTTACTTCTGATTCTTTGTCCTTTGCCTACTTCTGGTTCCTTATACACTCAATGTGTAAAAGTTGACGAATAAAGAAGCAAAAACTTGCTAGGAGTTAAGTCCTTTGATGCTGTTTTTGGTCGTGTTGATCGATTTAAGAGTATATGTTACTGGTAATTGCAAGATTTAATACACGTTTGCACTGGGCGGGGTCAGGTTTGGTTCAGTCAGATGAAACCCAATGTGTAAACCAGGAAAAGGAGRGAGAAGAAAAGATAAAACCCAATATAAACWACAGTCGTTTGAGGATTTGGGTTCGCTATCAGCATGGTTTTTCTGATGTATTGAATTGTTACGTTGGTTTAGAGACCTAATTACATTTGTATGTAACATTTTATGGATTTTAAATCGTAGCAATCTGCTCTAGTTTGTTTGTTTTGACCTTTCCTTTTTTTTCTTTCCTTTTTGCCATTGCCACATCTTGTATTATATCAAACCCATATTGCATGTAACTCTATTATTTTCATTGTTGCCACCAGCACCATTGCCATCATCAGCGTTTTCATGTGTTACTATCTTGTTTTATGTCTGAAACAATGAAGTCTAGCCAATACTATTCACGCACATAATTATGTATTTATTTTGATTCTGGAATTATATTGGCCACCTTTTGTCCACATGGAGGTCCCCCCACCCCCAAGTACAATTTTCATCAATTATTTAGCTGAATAAATATAATCTATTTGCAAATATCTCCCTCTTTTCATTTACACTAGAAATCATGTCATTTAATCAGTGATACCCAGGTCCTTGATTTTACCTCAAGTACCTGTGTTAGAATATGACATTGGTATAAGCATGGAATGTGTCTCGGATCCACCAAGTCGGTGTCTGWTTGTTCAATGTGAGAATTTGACAGATTGTGTATATACCCACTTAGTTAGAGAACACCCAACAAAAGCTACTGGATGAAAGCTTGAGTGAACATAGCTGACTCCCTGTACCCAAAGGTTTTGAGGTCAAATGAATCTGACTCTTCGACACATAACCTCACCTGAGACCCAATACCCACACTCAAGTCTGTGTAGCATAGCAACAAAAGGACTATAAAAAGTTTTAGCTTTTTGTTTATTATTTTAGGGTATGAACCTTTTGTCCAGCTGTTTTTTTTTCTATTTAGAATGGAAATTTGTGTTTCCACTTGCATTTTACTTTTGCTTCTTAATCCCTGGAAATGCTCTTTTAACTTTTCCATTTCTGGGAACTCATCATATTCAAGCACTTCATAAAGTATATTTAGGTATGGCTTCTAAGCTGGTTAATAGTTAGTTTATCTAATTACATTTTTATGTAATTGTGTTCATGATATCTGATCCGCCTTTCCCTTTTTGTGTTTTTTAGATTACTGAAGGAAATTTTCTGTAYTAAATTATTACTTTCTCGTTTTTGGTGGTKTCTTATTGTTCTGRAATTATACAGCTACATATACTGCCCCTTCTCATCATGTGTCTTCTTGTTACTTGTGTGATTTTTTATAATGTACAAAATCTTAGAATACCTTTCCTTMTATTTTCACCATGCCTCCGTTTCCTCTATACACTTCTGTATTTGAAATCAATGGCCATTGCAACAACTTGAATCAAAGARTTAGCATTTTCTTCTGGTGTGTGATTCTTCAATACCAAGCAGAATAGTTTATATGGTTTTTGTTTAATTTTGAAGTATTACTCATATGATATGGGTTGGCCCAAACAGCCAATTTCTTTTTGGCCAACTTGTGGAAYTGTATGAAAGTTGCTTGTATAAAAACTAAGGGTAAAATACAGAGAACTACCTTGTACCATAGAGAGCTAACCTTTACTTTCAGATTCCAACACTTAGCTCCTTCCGTTAGCATTCCAGCAGTTTTGAACCAATGAGGCCATTTTTCCCCCTGGTTTGTTGTTGTTTAGAACAAACAACGGTGGACAGTCTACCTCTTTCAACTCTCTTTTGTCTCCCTCTTAAACAAATGGAAAGAAAAAAAAAAAAAAGAAAAAGATAGGAAATTTACAAAAGCTGGGTTTTGGAGATGCAATATAGGGAAGGGAAAAATGTTCTCAGAACAAGGTCAAAACTTACAGAATGCTAATGGTAGGAACAGAGTTTTGGAATCTGAAAGTACAGGATAGCTCTCTGTCTTAAATGAAAGTTCAGGGACCTAAGTGTCACTACCCCCAAAGTATAGGGTAGTTCTATGTAAGGAAAAAAGGCAAGTAATTGATTTTTATGGTTTAGCTTTAGGATATTTCTTTCCAACCAAGTCTGGAAATATGATGCTGGCTTATGTTTGTAGTCCTGTTCTGCATAGGACTTCCAAGGAGGTATTGATTCAGATTGTTCTTATTGGGCAAATGTAATTTAAATCGGTGTTTTAAATTCTCTGGACTGCTTGAAGTTCTTCCTAGCTGTGCAATCTGAAGCTGAAGTCCAATCAAAGTATTGAGGTTGGCCAAGGCAGCTTAAGGAAACATTAGTGTGGAAGATATGAGAGAGTTTGGTGCCAAGGGGACTGACTCCAGTATGTCATCCAAGAATCAGAACGGAACATTTATGAACAAGAAAGAATTGGTTCATGCATCAAATGGAAAGGTATTACCCTCAACCCATTCTCCAACCATCCTGAATAAAAAATTCTATACCAAATGCATAAAACTGAGAGGGTGCATATCAATTTAGTGAAGCTGCTACCTGCTAGTATGATTCAGCGATATGATACAAAAATGGGTGGTCTATTCTTGGATAGGTCGAAGAAATTCATAATGAAAGATTGGCTTTCTTTTCATTGGAATTTGTACAATATGTATGTGTATACATGTGCTCAGAACTTACACCTTCTGCTCCTGTTTTTCTTGTTCATGTTTATTTCTTTCCTTTTTCTCGTCTTTCTTGAAATTTGATTGATCAAAGAATGAGTTTCAGTCAAATTTATATTCCTCCTTTATTGGGATTTTTAGGTAATTAATAAACTCCATGTTTCCTAATCATTTATTTATTTTATTTTATTTTTTTTTTGTGTATTGACTCAAGTCACCAAACATGCATGTGTCACAAGAATTTAAGCTCAAAATCTTGTTGATCAATTCAGTGGTTAGATTGGTGAACTGTCTGTGGTTGGGTATTGAAGACAAAGAAAAATAAGAAATTAATCTTTTCTAAATTTTAACTCTTCCTACCTTTTCTCATTCTATTTATTTTTTTCTCCTTGTAAATCTTATGTAATCAAATTCTTATACTTCAGCAATGTTTTAAAAGGTGTGGGAGGCATACGCCTGGAGGCACAAGATGCTCCCAAAACGCCCTGAGGTGCATGCCAGAGGTGTACACCTCAGGTGCATGAGGCATGCTAGAGGTGTAGTCAAATCTTCCTCTTTAGGAGGCGTAACAGGCTTACACTTATGTTTTGAATTATGCCTCGTGGAGTGCCCTGTGTCATGCCTCCACGTTTATATATATATATATATATATACTGGAATTAAAATAGAAAATGATTTTCTGAATAAAACCTTAAACCATGATTAATATGGAACTCAAATATGGATTTTTATGAAAAGTGGTTATTTTTCCATCATTTTATACTAATTTCCAGTTCAAGTGTAGAAACACTTGTTGTTCAACAAGAACATCAGCTAGTCTACTATATTGGGTCAGCCCTGATAACCAAATCCACCAATGTTTACCTTAGTCCAATGGTGGAACTTATCTTTTGTTTTGATCAGTAACTGAAAACTTTTATTAAAGAAGTGAAATTTAAGTACAAGAAAGGGGGAGATAAAATGACTTAGCTCCCCACCATTAGAATACAAGAAAAGACTTAGCCATCTAATCACCACCTCTGAATCACCTTCAAGGATCAAACTCCTGATGCTCAGGTCCCTAGCTTTTTGGATACCTTCCAGAGCCGCAAAGATCTTAGCTCTAAGTGAGTCTCCTTCTCCAATAGGGCCTGAAAACAAAGCTAAAATAATCCTCTCCTCATTCCTAAACACACCCCCAATTCTAGAAGGTCCTGGATTCCCCACGCTACAGCCATCAAAATTGAGTTTTATGGATCCAGAAGGCGGGGACGTCCAAGAGGGGCTAGAAGGTCTATCCCTTGAAAAATAAACAGAGCAGACCTTTCATCACAATGGCTAACTCAGACTTGGAAATTTGAACAGATTCCTAGTTGTTTCTGAGTTCAAATATGTGTCTATGTCATGGTTATAGTTTTTTTTTTGATAAATTATGTCATAGTTATAGTTAATCAATGAAAATTGCATACATTGTTTTAGGGGTCAAATTTTGATGGTTCTTCAATTTGACAG